AAAAATCAATGCCATGAAATTCATAGTTTCGTTATGTTTAAAGTCACTTCTTTCAGTTCACTTAATAAACACTTTATTGAGTGCCTACTATGTGCTAAGCAATGTCCCAAATTGTGGTGCTAGAGCAGTGGTTGAGACAGAGCTCATCATCTTCTGTATCTTTCATTCTAGTGGAGGAAGACAGAAAAGACTTTAGTAAACAGTGATCATACTGTGAAGGATAAGGTGGTGGTACATGACAGGATAACTCCATTAGATTGGTTTGGTCATAGAAGGCCTCACTGACTACTGAACAGCCAGGATGAAGCAGCCATTGGACGTGTGGAGGATGAAACATTGTAGATAGAAGAGATGGTGCAACGACTCCAAAGTGAGACTGAGAATGGATTGTTGTTCCCAGATTAGAAAGAGCCTCGTTGGAATCTAGCAAGTGAAGTGGGCAAGTGACATGAGGTGGGGACAGAGAGATTCACAAGGGCCAAATCATTAAGGGCTTTGCAGGCCAGGGTAAGAGATTTGGGTCTTATTTTAAGTTCAATGGAGAGCTATTGGGTGGTTGTAAGCAAGTGTATTACACAATTTATGTTTCTAGTTTTTGCACTGGTTGCTGCATTGGAGAGAGGGATGGAGAAGATGAATGACAGAGCTTGAACTGGATGGTAGTTAGGGCAGTAGAAGGACTCGGGTTCAGAATCATTATTGCATTGGGTTTGAGAGGTAAGGGAAAAAGAGGAATCAAAGATTTTTGGATTTGAGTGTATTGTTGAGATGAGGAAGATGGTTGAAAGGCATAGAGAAAGGAAGACATTAATATTAAGTGTACTCTTTTGACTGTGCTGGATTTATGACATCAAGTAGAGATGTCAAATAAGCAGCTTAGTCTCGAGCACTAAGGAGAGGTCAAGTCGGATGACAGAGATTTGAGAATCACTGGGTTATATTATGACATTAAAAACCAAAAGTTTGGGTGAGAACTTCCTGGAGGAATTTGTGGTTATAGAAGAGAGAGGGCCTTAGGTCAAGCACTTCCGACCTTTAAAGGTAGGTCAGAAAAGAATGGCTCAGCAAGGGAGACAGTTTTTTTTTTTTTTTGTCTTCCAAGAATATAAAAATCTTTCTTGGAATCTTTATTCTCTAAATAAACTAGAAGAGTATTTTGTGAGTTTAATAACGCACAAAGCCATTGGGTACTAAAATGTAAATACCACATACAGTTGAATTTCAGTGGTAACTCTATTTTGTTACTGCAAAAGTTGAGAAGTGCGTGATGAACATGGAAATAAAATCACACTTCTGGAGATAATTTAACAGATGACATATTTGGGAAAAGTAAGGAATGTAAAAGGAATAAAGCAGTTGTCAAAAAACACAAACAGTAAAAGTCAAGATATAATTATAGTCCTATTCCTTATGTGGGAGAAGAAAGAAAAATGAAACTAATAGAAAACTCCATCCCAGAAATACCTGAGAGGAGGAAGGAAACTAACATGTAAACAAAAGGAGGGAAACAACAAGAGAAGGTAAAGCTATGAAGCTGGTCCATAGATTTAAATAATTAGAGGGAGGGCTGGCAGTAATCTTTGTGCTCTACCCCAACAAACTGCAGGAACAGATAAGGCATAAACGCGGTGTGTTTTAACACCAGGTGATGACTTCTGTGAAAGTTAAAATCACCACCTGCCATTTCTATAACAGCCTACCTACAGAAAAGTAAGGTAAAGGTGGGTATTAGGCTTCAAGACTTATAAAACCCAGTAAGACTAGGAATTTCAAACAATTTAAAAGCGTTTTTAGTAGAATCCCATCAATTGGGAGCGTAAGGTACTGGTTTCATTCAGAGTAAGTCTGAAGCCATGTAGCCCCTCCTTGAATATCAACAAGCTCCATTTTGAAGTTTTTTTTTTTTAATATGTAGTGACTTTTAAAATTAAAAGAAAATTTTCAAAATTAAAGTATAGTCAGTTTACAATGCTGTGCTCGTTTCTGGTGTACAACACAGTGATTCGGTTTCACGTAGATATATTCTTTTTTATATTCCAATTTTGAAGTTTCTTAGTTTAAAAAAAGTATTCTGGAATTCCTGTTGAGAGTTTCACTGTGAGAGGGTATTCATAATACCTTGGAAGCCCTCAAGTATAAACTTCGTAGTTGGCTTCCTTTAAAAGGCCAGGAAAGAAACCATCTTTCTCTACATTCACATGTAACAGCGCTACTGCCGACGCGTTTGAGTCCTCCGCTGCCTTCAGGAGAAGGCGGGCCTTCCCTTAACCAATCAGACGAGTCCTCGCGGTCACCTGACAGCAGACCCGCGTTCTCATTGGCGGACTCTGCCGCCGTCTGGCCGCCGGCGCGGTGCGCGCCTCAGATGTGGAAAGACCGAGAAGGCGCGTCCCGACCTGGGGAGCGCGCGGATTCTGACGGGACTGCCGCCCGCGCGGCCTGTGGGACTCGCAGTCTCTGGCAGTGTGGCCGCAGTCGTGGATACGCATTTTCCTCAGGTTAACGGTGAGGGCGGTGACGGGGCAGAGGCGAGGAGCGGTGGTCTGGGCTCTACAGATGTGGTGAGCGGAAGCGCCGCGGGGCCGCTGTGGCCGCGGCTTCGGTCCTCCTCACGCGTCTTGCGTCCTCCTCACCTGACTTCAATTCTCCTCACCCGTTTTCGGGTCCTCTCCCCTGACTTCCGTCCTCCTCGCCCGTCTTCTGGTCCCCTCTCCCGTCTTAGGATCCTCCTCCCCCGTCCCCCGTCCTCGGGTCCCCCCTCCCCCGTCTCCTGGTCCCCCTCTCCCCCGTCCTCGGGTCCCCGAGGGCGCGGCCTTCCTGGCCCGGGCCTGGCTGGCTTCGTTCCGCCGGCCCGGGGCCCGCGTCAGCCCCGGAGGAGGTGCGGCCGGCGCGCTCGGGGTGAGCGGGGCCAGCTTCTGTTCGGCGGACGGAGGGCGGTTTGGTAAGAGCACTGCGGGCTCGTTTTGTGTGGTGCGTGCGACTCTGAGGGACTGGTCAGCGCGGGCATGAGTGCCTCGGAGACGCTTCTCGTGGGCAAAATGGGCAACACTTAAACAAGTGTTCCCTTTGAGTTCTTACAGTTCTGTTTTCGGTTGCCTGGATCTATGTAGGTTTCGCCCTCAGCTCGGAGTTCGTCGTAAATTCTGAATTTTTTTTTTTTTTATTTTTTAGTTTTCTTATTTCCTTTCTTTTTTATTCTGTCGTGGTGGTAATTAGAATTATCGTTGACCAGTATTTTCGCCCGATGTGGTCTTTCAGCAGGTGACCTGCTGGAGGGAAGAAGCTGAAGAGGGGAACAAACTTACCTGTTCAGGAGAGAAGAGGAAACATACAGGTATTTG